TTCATGGCTGGTGAGGCACTGACTCACTGAGTCAGATTTACAAATATTATATTTTGACCTTAATCGAAATATTCGGTTATTTTCAAAAGCTTTTTTAGTCTGATGCTTCGATTCATTTTAAACAGACCGTTCAACAAAAGGATACCCAAAATCTAAATATTGGATTGTTCTTTCTTAGTAAGATCCCATTTTCATTACAAATGTGGTCTTACCTTGACTTGAAGATGAAGTCCATGCTATCCTTCTGGACAACAATCTCTATTACTTTTTTGTAAAAGTCCTCCTTATCTTCCTGTAGTTTCAAAAGTCTAGTTTGTTGTTACGTCTACCGTCTCTGTGTAGAATTACAGTAGCAACAAGAACCTGTGGGCTCACGTGCGCCCCCTTCAGTGCGGCAGAGGTTATGGCTGCCTCCCCTGGTGCATTTTCATTGCCGTTGAGACCAAGCGGCAAACTCTGGGGAAGAGCCGGGACGCCAATACGGAAGTGCCACAAACTGCAGTTCATATATTGGCCGATAGGCGATGACTGCAGAAAGGAGCAATTTCCATAGACCCCAATGTTAAAATGCCCAATTTCACAGCAGAAAAAAAACGTTTCTAGCCCTGGCTCCAATACATTTTATTATGTATATAGTTAGATTCCACCTTCGTGATTATGAATCTGTGAGTGAATTGTTTTCTAACGCGACCCTTTTATTTATATTAGGTCTTAAAGTTTTTGCATAAATTAGGGCGTGGTCACTTTGATGGACAGGTACGTGCCTCACTGTCAGCTAACAGCAATTTGTCCACTCTGCTAGGCTACAACGTTAGTTAGTTGTAGTTGCTGTACTTGACCCTTTAGCCGTGTTCGTGGTGATTGTGCCTTTTAGGGAATATTGTTACAAATACCAGACAATTAAAATGTCGTGCTGTGCGCTTGAATGTACTAACAGACCTTCCAAGAAGTCTACTCTCAGCTTTTTTCGGTGAGTAAAATGATAATATTATACATGTTAATCCCGTTAGCAGGTGTTTGTGTGCTTGTTAGCTTAGCTTGTTATGTAGCTTATTATGTAGCTTATTAGCCAGCTAAGGACGTAACCCTTTATACATGTGTATATATATATACAGTTTAGTTTATGATTCAGCCTTTTATAGTATATGGCTGTGACGCCCATAATGCTAAACGGGAGCAAATGTTAAAAGGGGACCCAATTATCCCAGTGGTGGCCGCCGGAGTCCACGCCGGCCGAAGCTAACGGAGCCGCAGGGGGCTAGCTCGCTAGCGCGTCCCGGCTGCTCCGTTAGCTTCGGCCGGCGGCGGAGTCCGGCATTATAACTGGAGATCAAGGAATGCAGCGAAACGCAGACTTGGTTCGCCTGCAGCCCGCTGTAGTATTAGCTAAATAAATTATGTTGAACAAGGCTTATTAAGCTGAACATCGCCACAATTGTTCTGCTATGTATCGGTACTTATTTTATTTTATTAACGTGTGAATGACAAGCATTAAAAATAACAACAAATAGCTCATTATCTTGCAGATTGTCTCGTTTGATTATGAATGTAACGTTTATATAGTGGAACTACACTGTTTTATCAAAACCAAAGTGCCACGCAGTAACTTGGTATGCATGTATTTCAGCAGGAAATGTGCAACCTAGATGACATTTACCAACACAGACTATATAGAAATATTTGTAAAAGTTGTTCATGTGTTATTAAGTGAATATGGCATTAACCCTCCTGTTGTCTTCGGGTCAAATCTGACCGATTGACTACTTTCATCAATCATAACTTTTTTGTTTTACATTCGATTGCATTAAGGATTTATGATATCCTTCACAGTAGACATTTGAACATATAAAATTGCTGATCACCACTTTCATTGAATTTTGGATGATTTAGTCAACTTTGTAACACCTCCCTCCCTGTCCCTCTGCAATTTCCTCCATCTTAGTTTAGCTGTCTGTCTCTCACACACACACAGACACACACACACACACCACACACACAACACACACACACACACACACACACACACACACACACACACACACACACACACACACACACACACACACACACACACACACACACACACACACACACACACACACACACACACACACACACACACACACACACACACACACACACAAGATGTGTTCCCCCCCATTATGTGCCCATCCCCCCCTGACCTACACCTTGTCGTGGTGAGTGGGCTTTAAACTAAGACGGGTCATACTGAATAGTCTGTGCACACATTTTTAACATGTGATCTTTCTTTCATGTAGGACGCTTGAGGGAAGTTGCAACGCCTCGGCCAATGTGATGTCTTCCCCACGTGAAAGAGATTGAAGGCATAATTTATAACTTGAGACAATTTTCCAAAAATTATGACTTTTATTGGCTTAGGTAGTAATGGATTACATCCAACACGAATCAAGATCGTATAGAAAAAAAGGAAAGTGTAATCCTTAGTTACATAGGAAAAGATGTAATCGGATTAGTTTGACTTTTTTTAATAATAGGGAAACTCAGGATTACAATCTTATTCAAAACCTGAAAAGAGCATATAGTGTTTGTTGTAAAATGATCAGATGTTCTCTCTTCTCTGGAAGCGGTACTGTTCTGTAGGCTAATACTTTAATTGTGAATCTATACACCTACTGCCTGAGTCAGCTTTATGTATATTATACATTTAAGTAAAAAAATCATATTAATATTTCTTCTCTCCTGTGTTTATTTGAATTGCATTTGATATTGAGGTAATCCAAAAGAAAAATAAAGTTATCAGGTTACAGTACATTACTTTTATATCTTGATACTCACATTAAGTTACTGGTTGCGTTTTTGGCAAGTAGCCCTCCCAACCCTGTACATAAGTTATATCATTTTAATTACTGATACAGTTGTTGCACATCTTTAATTTATTTTCTAGTGTACTTAAGTTGTACATTTTCAATGTGAAATAGATCGGATTAAATATAGAGTAAAAGCACAATCTTAAATTATACATTTATAATTTTCCTATGCTTATTGTTAATGTAGTGCTGTTATAAACAAAATGTTGTCGTAAAGGAAATTAAGATGTTTTTTATTTGTTGACAAAAGATTTAAAGTTGATGCTCACAACATGTGGGAACATTTATTGAGAAAAATGTTTCTATTGTAAAACAAATAATTATCTGCATACTGAACAATTTAGAAACTCTCTAAAAGGTATTATTTTCTGTGATGTTACGACCCTGTAGGGATTGTGGATATTGCATTTCATAATTACATTCTATGGTATGCTTATGACATATTTGATGCCAAAATACATGGGATTAGGGGAGACCTTCTTGGTGTTTGCATTGTCACTGATAAATGACAAGGTAGTATTCATTGTCAAGATTTTGTGTTTTTAAACTTGGGACTCTTTTCAGACTGCTTACGGCTTGGGAAAAGATTTGAGCCTTAATGTGTAATGTTTTCTGTATTGTATGGTTAGCTTATCCTTTCATTTGATAGTCAGATTTGGATGTGATAGCTAACATTTTCAGTAAGCAGTAGACAAAAGAAGTGAAAATATGAATGTGATTTATTTTAAATATTTACAGAATTATTTTAACAAATAAAATAACAAAAAACATAATAACAAATTAAAAAAAAAAGTTTGACAGACAGCCATGCCCAGCATGGGCCTGGAGAGCTACAGAGTCCATTGGGGGGAAGAGGGGGGGGTGGGATGTGGGGAAGAGGAAGAGCAGCCATGTTAACAGTGTTATGGCTACAGATGTAATATCTAACTCAACATTAGCCATGACAGTCTGGGCTTAGCAAGGGCCTTAGAAAACATACTCTAAAGGCCAAATCCAAAAACAGTGATACTGACATTTTAGCAGTTCACAGTCTTTGGAGATGGTCTTTCAGGCAATTGGCTAGTGACTTTAAAAAAATATCATTTCCCCTAGGGGTGAAATGAACTCTATCTCGCAAAAAAAGCCCAGGACTGTCATGTCTAATGTTGGAGTGGTCAACAATGGCACCATTTAGGCTATGAACAAAAGTAGCCATAACACTGTTAACAAACTTCCGGGCCTTGTCAATTTTGACAGGATTTGCACCAGCCCTCCATCGGCACCTCTGGTTGATCTGGGAGAGCATGATCTTCATGCCAGGGTGCCGATGGTGAAGCTGGTGCAGGTCCTCCTTCATCTGATTCACCAATGGCGCATTTCCATTGCAGCGCGTAGCTCGCTTTAAGCGTGCCGTGTCGTGCCGTCCCCTTTTTTGGTTGTGCTTCCACTAGGCCTCGTTCCGGCGCGGCACGGCGCGGGGCCACTTTTTCCCCTCTTTTCTGGCCCTAGAAAATTGTGGTTCTATCGGGGCCAACAAACAGGGCTGAGTCGGGCTGAGTATGCTAAACTAGAGAGAGGAGCGCTGGCAAGAGGGCTAGAACTACAACAAGATGGACATATTTGACCGTGATTTAATTGTAATACACGTTTCAAAATGATGCCGAAGTAACAACATACTGATACCGGTTAGTAAAAACCATGAATTAATGCTTTGTCAAGTCTGCAGACAGACGGCAAGCGAAAAACCTTTTAAAATTCGTGTTTTTCTAGATGGAGATTGGCTAAGCTAACGCAGTATATGCCCCGACCGTCCACACTCACAACAACGGCCTATACAGACATAAATAAAGTAGCGACTGTATTCACCATGACACAGGCAGTCTGTGGTGTGTACTTGTTTAACTTTTGTCGAGTTTCTGAACATATATAAGGAGCTGTGAGCTCTGAGTGCTCACAGCTAACGGCTGTGTTGTGTTTCTGGATTTCTCATTGAAGATGACGTCACGGCTCCGCCTACACTGCGTTACTATAGTAACTACCCCAGTTCCTAAACTGTAATGGAAGCGCAGCATGAAGTGAGTCGGCCCTGTTAAGGCCCAACGCGGCCAAGCCGTACCGAGCCGTACAGAGTGTGGCCGAGGCCGACCGTGTAGTGGAAATGCGCCACAAGTGAACACTGGGCACATCCCCCAAGTCGTTGCCGCCACAGTGGATGAGGAGGACATCCGGGGCTGCTCTTCCTCGCAGGGAGTTGGAAAAGAAGGGGAGGAGACCTCTCCAGCGCAGTCCACCCCAACCGAACCAGCAGGCGCGAAGGTCGAGGCCAAGGTTGCTGCCGATGGTCTCTGTAGCTCTCTGGGCTCCACGCCGGACATAGCTGTCTCCGATTATCCATACAGTCACTATGGGAGGAAAATAAATGAGAGTAACAAATGCTTCAGATAATGAGGAATATCAAATTAAGTATAGAGTGGCGAAGTCCCTCCCACTTACTTCCGGGGTATGGGACCTTATTTCGGAAAAATTATGCATTGAAGTCAATGGGGAGAGAAAACTTATCTTTCGATCCCGTTTGAATTGTGCCATGAATTACACATATGATGTTTGTCAATCTTAAAAAATCATTTCCATGTCAAAAAAGTCACAGTTTGTCTTAAAACTGTTGAAATATAAGACTTTGAAAAATACGAAACTAGAAAGACTACAAATCCCAGAGTCGCGTAAGTGATGTCACAATTGAGACACTACGATACACGTATAATACCGTATATATACGATCAGCGCCATATAGATAGAATCTATCTATATGGCGCTGGCTAAGATAAGATAACTTTCACAAGATGCCTGTGTGCTTAGTACCAGGTTGTTATTATACCAGCAATGGGTCTTGCTCGTTCTTTCGCTTCCCGTCTGATGAAAGAGGAGTGTGTGGATCAAGTTAGCTACCTAGCTAGTAGCTAGCACGTTAGTTAGCATTACAGCCTTGTCATTTGTATTAGCCTTAACATGAAGTAACGTTAAGTAACCCAAAATGTTAAACAGTAAGAGTAGTAGTCATATTTTGTGAACCCTTTGAATAGTACTGTCACCGGTGTGATCATTCTATAATACACAATTTAAGCCCGGGGGAGAAATGCTAACGCTAACGCTAGCGATCTTCTCTACTTCATGCTATCTGCACAAATGGTTGACATTAAACATTAAAACGACCAGGCAGTTCAGAGAGAATCAAAGGAAGGCAGGCAGGCAGCTTTGCATGACATTCTTCAGGACGTGTTTCATTGTAGTGATAGTGAGGGTAGTCTCTTGTGTTGACAAGACAGTAGTGACGGCCATCTTGGTGACGTGTGTTGTTGACCAGAGATCAGATGTAGTTCTTTGAGCGTTTCACACAAACAAATGTGTTACTTCACAGTTTTACGACACATTTTTTTTTTTTTACTTGCAAAATTATCTTTTAAATTGACAAACATCATATGTGTAATTCGTGGCACAATTCAAACGGGATCGAAAGATAATCTTTCTCTCTCCATTGACTTCAATGCATAACTTTTCTGAAATAAGGTCCCATGGGGCTCAACCGGAAGGGGAGGGACTTCGCCACTCTATAAAGGGTTGCTCATTTTGTTCCTTTGACAATAACATACAACATAACATATGAAATCACACCTGACGTATATATATATATATATATATATATATATATATATATATATATATATATATATATATATATATATATATATGTATATATATGTATATAGATATAGTATGTTTGTGTGTAATGTCAACCATCTGAAGTCATGTAAAGTAAGCCAGGACCATCAACTTACAGGTTGTGGAGGAGGTTGCCATCTTTTTTTCTTAATGCTGAAAGAAATAAAAATGGTTTAATCAATATAAAAGCGCCTTTCTTTTTCTACAGTCATATTTAATTTATACTCTCACAGCGCTGTTGAAACAGTAACGTTGGATTAAATGTATATACAATTGATGGTCAAAAAGTATAAATATGCAAATTTTGCATTTGTTAGCCCATGCATATTACACTGTTTATATTTGAATCATGGAGAAGCGTTTTTAAACTTGTATAGTGTAATATCAAGAACAGTTAAATCATAGGGAAAAGCTTTGTTTAATTCACAATACGCTAATTCCTTTACATACTGTATAGGCCACAGTTTATGGCTAATTCCATAGGCTAATTCACGCAACACTGGCCATATCTCTGCTAGTTTACAAAGTTGTTACAAATGACATTTATATTTGAAAAAACGGTGAAGCACTTAAAAAACAATTGTATAGTGTAGGTTCAAGAACATTTAAATCAAAAGGACAAGTTTTGTAAAGTTACAGGGGATCTTACCTTCAGAACGCCGGGAACGAGGAGCAGTGACCGCAAGCTGGGTTGTTAGCTAATACTGTGAGCATGTTAGCTTAGCTTCTTAGCCTGAGCTAGGTCTGGAACTTGACGGCCGTTGGCAGAAGGTCCCGCCCTGTCCCGCTTCGTCTCCGCCACGGCTCCGCCTCTTTGCCCTTATTTGGATCAGGATGTAGCAGGCGGGAGTTAGACTCTGACGCCACTGTCGAGCCGTTAGTGGCCGACTCCGCCTACTAAGGGCTTCTCGGCAACTCTGCAGAATCCTATGGGTGACGTCACGGACCCTACGTCCATTTATATATACAGTCTATGGTTGAGACCAGCGAGCCTAAATATCATATATACGTGAAACAGTGGCGTAGCTGTGGGTGGGCCCGGGTGGGCCTGGGCCCACCCACATGCACGTCTGGCCCACCCACAGCCAATCAGCGCGTTATAGCGCAGAGCCGGGAAGCCCAGAAGGAAGTGCCACAAACTGCAGTTCCTCTAGTGGCCAACAGGGGATGGATGCAGAAAGGAGCAATTCCCATAGACCCCCATGTTAAAATGCCCAACTTTACAGCAGAAATAAACATGTTTCTAGCCCTGGATCCAATCAAACTTATTCTGGATATAGTTAGATTCCACCTTCATGACAATGGAATAGGGAGTGCATTTTTTTACCGTGAGTAAATTAGTAAGTAAAGTAGGTTTTGCCGTGAGTTAACGAAAGTCTTATTTCTTCTTGAGGTCTGCAGTGAAGCGTGTACACATTTGCTGAATATGAAAACTCTCAGTGTGTGCCCACTGTGCGACTGTCAAGGATAAACAACCTGTGGCCGCCGAGCCAGTCATGTGTAGGGATGGGTACCGAGCCCCAGGGCTGAATTATTAAAGACCGTGGTACCATTAAGCTCCGACGTTATCGGTCGGTACTGGAGACATGTAAAAAATATATCTCATATGTATTATTGCTACACAAACATTATATTGCAGTTTTAGTGTCGCCAACTCTGTTTCTAATATGCAAAAAGACAGCAAAATGCGTCTATGATTATTTTTAGTATTTTCGATCTTTCCAATCCAGACGAGAGATCTCTCTCCCCCGCCTGTGTGCGAGGGGGCGGGGCAGTTTACACACACGCAGCTGCTACATGCAGCAACACACACACACGGAGGGGATGGCGGAGAGAACACGCTCCGAGGTGTGGTTAAACTTTACCTGTTCGATGTGGACAATGCTCGTTACCAAAAGTGCAATAAGAGTTTAGCATGGAAGGGCGGTAACACGAGCAATTTGTCTAAACATCTTGTAAAAGTGCACCACATTCAAACGGAGAAATGCACCGGGTTCGACTGTCTTTCTAGTAGCTCTGTAGCCCCGTCCACGAGTAACTTTTCCACGTCAGGTGTTATGTATGCTAGCAGCAACACACGGAGTTAACTCAATTATACAAACATGGGCTAATGATTAGAGGTAATTTAGAGTTATTTATTTTGTTAAAGTTTCAGCTATTCTGTTTACAGTTCTGTCATCACATTATTTAATACGATTTGTTAAAACACTGTTGTTTCTTTTGATGTGAAATATTATGTATTTAATTCAAATAAAAAGCAATGATAGTTTTGTTCACAATTTGTGTTAGTTAGTTTACCTTATTTTTTTCTCCAAAAAAAACGATAAAAGTACCGTTAAAGCCGTGCCTATGTTTTTGTTTTCACTGCTAGTTTATGCTTATGTTCAATTAGTGCATTAACAAATCATTAAAATCATTAATGAAGTTTCAGCTCAGACCCCACGCTTAATAAGTCTCCCCCTGGCCCACCTACATTTCTCCAGGCCCACCCACACAATAATTCCTGGCTACGCCACTGACGTGAAATAAGTTATTTAGAGACTATGGATGGCGAGGATAAATGTAATAAAGGGATCTACATACATTACATTGGTGACCTACAGTGAGATGGTAACAGGCATGCGCTTAGGGCCCGCTTTCCAGCCAGTTTCTGTGGGGTGACGCATTCTGAGGTGAGGCAGATCTCATCTGTGCCTCACCTTATCCCACAGTAACGCAGCCTACACACGGCGGCGTGCGTTGCCGCTTGGCGGTGGGCGTGTCTTGAGCTTGGGGAGTTTACGCGAGCAACGCGACCAACAACCAATCACATGAATCTCCCGTGTGTCTCCCCAAGGGCTGGAAAATTGAAGAAGTGACCAGAAAGTCGGGTTTGTCAGCTGGAAAAAGCGATGTCTATTATTTTAGGTACTAAACGAACGGGGGCTTGCAAAACGTTTAGCTGCTGCAGGACACAAGAGTTTGCGGAAACAAGACATGAGTTGATAATGGGAAGGGGGGATCTGTGTAAAGTTTGTGATGGGGGGGGGGGTTCTGTTTGCAGCGGGGTAAAAAGGCTTTAAAAAGGCTCCCGTGTATGAATCTCACCATAGACATTAATGTCTAAAAAGCGATTTTTAATTAATGTCTATGGTGCTATTTTATGCAACATTGCATGGTGGCTAAATATACTGTCTATGCCTGCTGTCCATTCAAACGACGTACACTGGATATAAACTCCCCAAACAGGCGAAAACCTACCAGTTTCACCCACTGTCTCTGCCACCTCCCTCCATGCCTGGCTCCTCCGGTTTGTATCCCGGTAGGTGAACAGGGACTGAAAGCACCGGGTGATTCCCTACCGCTCCGATTATTTTCTCCTCAATTTTTTGGCATATGAGGAAATGAACTGCGGTCTGGCTCTCCCAGCATACACGCGGTTTGATTGGCTAGCGCGTGAACTGTCAGATTTGCATACGCGGGATTTGATTGGCTGCCGCCTCCGCCTCAGCTTCAAAAGTAGAACATTGCTCTCCTTTTGCAGCGAGCACCGCGAGAAAAGCTACGCTTTGCTCCCAGAATGCAGTTCGGCGAATCGTGACGTCACCCCATTCAAAGTGAATGGGCAGAAGCGTTGAAGAGTCACCGCACGCCGCCGTGTGTAGGGGCCGTAACCATGGCCGTAACTGGCTTGAGCGCGCTCACAAAATAAGTGCCCGCGCTAAATTAGTGCCCGTGCTCCAGCAAGTTACTGTGGGCTTACGAGAGGCAGATATGGGCATAGATATGTCTCATAATTATTTGTGTGAACAGAAAAATAATTTGTGTGTAAATATGTGATTTGTAAATGTAAAACACCATCCACAAATGCATTTAAAAGATTTGCAAACTCACAAATAAATGTGCAAATGTAAAACGGATCTGCAAATGCGCAAAATATTTTTACAAATAAAAAAAAGATCTTTGAATATCTCTTTAACATTTACAACTTTAGATCAGGCATTTGTGAATCCATTTTGTATTTGTCAACCAAAAATGCGCTTGTGGATCTCACGTTTCTGCTTGTGGATCTCAAATCTCTGCTTCTGGATCTCAAATCTCTGCTTGTGGATCGTCTTTTTACACACACGGAGTTTTGAGACAACCTTTCCGCCGGTCTCGGCTAAAATCTACTCGTGTCACTCGGTTATTTTCGGAAGCCACGTGATGGCCTGCTGATGACGACATTTCCGCATGGTTTTCAAAGTAAGAGCATGATGGTTTGTTTAAAGCGCTGTTTTTTTAATGAACAGCGGAACGTTAGATGCCATGGCCATGGGAAGTAGGGGTGCTGAGGGTGCTGCAGCACCCCCTGACGGAGGACAGGGAATCTGCACGTCCACAAGATTAATGGAAATATAATACAAATATAATACAAAAAAAACTAATTTTCGGCATTGATGTAACAACATTCATAATTAAGTAAAGATAACACCCTTTTCACCCCGGTTACATTTTCCATTTCCCCTGAGAGGCTCAGTGAGGTAAAGGACTGTTTAAATAGTTCAGGTTTGAAATCATTCCAATGTATACTATAGGACAGTAAACCAAAAATATCCTTTAAAACTGGAGAGATTAAAAAATATGCATAAATAAATAACTGTTAACTACGTAAAATAAGATATAAATGAACAACAAAAATAAAGTACGTTACATTTATTTGTTATTGGCTATGGTAGGTTATTGGTTATGTTCACATACTTATTTGATTATTAAAATGTAAACCGATCTTCTTCATATGGGTGTTTTAGAGTTGTACCCCCTAGATCCAGTCTCTTGTAATTATGCTCAAAGTGCTCCAGATTGAAGCATTTTACTTTAAAATGTTAAAAACAATCTTCCCGGGGGGGCATACCCCCGGACCCCCTTAGAGGATGTGACGTGTTAAAACATGTTAATACAATACTAAATACATTTTAAGCCTTTTTATATAAGCTGTCCAACATGTCAATAATGCGGCTTTCACACCAGTGCTTTTCCCATTCTAGCTCCGAGCTAGAGCTTTTCTGGTTCAGCTCCGGTTTCCCTTTTCTGCTCCCGCTCTGTTCACACCGCCCAGAGCCCGACTGGTGCTGCCGCTGCTGCGTCATGACGTCACCGTTTACATCGCTGATTTGCTCCCCAACGGCGCTCACAACAACAACAACAACAACAACAACAACAACAACAACAACGGGGGACTGCGTCGGGTCGATGATCGTGTTGCTTTTAATCATACGAAGCCAGATTAAATTAAATAACGACTTCTCCAACCTTATACTTTTCTCCAGAGTGCCGTGGTTCATTGTTTATTAATGTGTTTCAGCGGCATTTACCGACCGCTGCAGTGCTGGCTGCTCTTCCACGGGAGTTTATTCTCTCGTTAGCTCCGGGTTAGCTCACACGGCTCTAAAGTATTCACTGTCTGACTGTCACACAAGCAGCTGATACATATCCCCAGTTCCCCTTAAAGTGGACCTATCATGGTATATTTAAATGATATATTGTAGGGCCATACCTATATAAGGTATATTTATACGTTTCTGTTTTCAAAATACCAAACAGATCATGCATTTTAGCCATGCCTCATTTTGCTCAATTTGCACTTTTTTTTAGCTCTGCTCTGCAAGGGCAGATTCAGTGAGAACAGCACCATCTACTGGCCTGGCATATGTACTACAGC